CCCACGAACCAAGAAAGAAGAGGAATCCCATTCTTCCACTTCCCACCTTAAAGAAATAGACAGCTCATAACTAAACAAATGTGACAACTCCTCTACATGGAATCTCACAACAAAAATCAAACACACTACGTACGATTGAGGGAAACAGAAAAGAGAATCAAACACGGAAGTCATGCATATGACAAGGAACGCAACTACCAAATAAATAAATCTACTCACATAGATAAAACCAAAGGTACATGCAGCACGTCTCCACGTAAGCACAAAAGTCATGTCACAAAAATTCAGTAACAACATGGCATCTCTAAGCATATAAAGAAAGCATGCAAAAGCCACATAAGAAGAAAACAAATGTGGATAGACCTCCACCTACTCATACATCGCAATAACATAAATCATACTACGAACATGGTAGTAAATGAAACTGTAGAAAACAAAAGTGATGTAACAATGAACCCTATAGACATCGTGTCCTAGAGTGTCTAGAGTGTCTAGGTAGAAGGAATGATCGGCCTTAGCCATAACTATCTCCAAAAACCAACGCAACAACAACCTTTCTCAAAACAAACGTGAGCCCTTACCATAATGGTAAGACTCTAACAATCCATCACTGAATCTAAAGGTGACACCACAAGTGACACTAACAATGCAATGCTCTCTTTACCCAAAACATCAATCAATCGACTTGATCCCAAAAGCGTTATCACACAAGGAGAACTTAAATGAAATGGCTACTCTAGCCATACAATTAGACAACCAAATCGATCACTACGACAGATCCCCAAAACAACCATCATTATTATCGATCAAAAGGACTACACCTGTTGGAACAAAACCCAACGCTGATTCCATCCGAACTGCACTCGTAGCTTGCCAGTACGGTAGCATGACAGTGCCATGCACCCTCCCACAACGTACCCGCCATGAAAATTGCAATCTCAGAGGAACCTTCCAAAACAACCAAGGATCGGAAAAGGTCCAAAACCTAACCATGGCCTAAAATCAACAAATCCAGTATTACGGTTGTGCCTAATGGCTCACTCCACTAGAGCCTAAACAAAAGGTGTCTCTCCACCTACCTCAAAACCAACTCTAGGTCAACAACAACCTAAACTATAATACAACCGTGACTACAATAACTATCAACCTCAATTTGTGCCTCAATGACCAATCCCGTGTCATGCAAAATATGCAACACAGTTATGTATATACGAATCTAATCTAGCATACATCATATGTCATGCTCTTTATATTGGAATCAAAACAAGTTAAACAGATAGCATACCACGTATAGCACATAAGACCTAAACATTTTATCAAACCAAAACATGTTATCATAAAGCATATAAGCACGTAAAACAAAGCAACAGAAATGTGATATGCACCCCAAACCCGTCATCCCAAGGTATTCAAACATAGGAGCTCTGATACCACTTGTAACGACCCGGATTTCTCAACCTGGTGCGTTAGTGATGAACCAAAAGTAGACTCGATAACGGATCCGAAATGCGGAAGTAAAAGAAGCTAAATGACCTCAAGAGATGTATGTCATCCCTAAGGCCCCAAAATGACTCTCCATGAAGCCACAGAACTCAAATGAGCCAAGAAAATGAAGCAAGAATGCCTAACCCGAAAAGAGATGAACTAAGGGCAAAATGGTCATTTCTCACTGAAAAGGGTGCCACCGTGCACACCATTGGAAGGACAACGAAAAATGAACAAAATTAGACTCAAGAATCGTTTGATTATGAGTCTGGGCAGAAAAGATATGAAATTCCAACACCCGATGCGAAAGTTATGAAGCAATGACTTAACATTTTCCAATATTTTCATAATAAACTTTGAAAACAAAAGTGCATAGAAAATGAGATACATGTCAATGGCCGCCGGCCTCATCTCATACATGTTAAATACATTGAAAAGAGTGCACTTATGTACACTTTACATATACGAATCAACGAATACAAGTTTAAACAAATAAGGCTACAAAGAGGCATTTTATGCTAACACTTGCATAAAATAGAAACTTAGAAACTGTAAGCCATCCAAGGAGCAATGGAATCTTTAAATCCTGAGTCCTATACCTGAAATATGCCCCAGTATCATAGGGGTGAGTAACATAAAGCTACTCGTAGGAGATGAGCATGCATCGACCTAGCATTTTACAATTTTATCACCTTATAGTGAAACATGTTAAGGGGGCTCATGCCACCTAACGTCTATGTCAAGATGAGACCCAAGGAGCATCCTAAGCTACCTAGATCACTTATATCATAATCACATTGTTCATGCAATTCAAACAACATGGAAACATGTTATAGAAGGCAACAAGATATAGATTCTCAAAGTCTTCAACTTGGAATCCAAATACGAAAACAACAAGTGTGGCTCATACCACCTAATGTCTATGGTCAAAATGAATCTATAAGGTCATTTCTAAACTACATTTGAACATTAAAACACAAATTATGATATCGATGCAATTTAACCAACAATGGAACTTCCAACACAACGCATGAAGCATACTTTCACAAAGCTACATCTTAAGCTCAAAATAGGAAATCAAATAAGGAACAACAAGTTACGATATCATCTAGTTATCAACTTGAAATGAAATACGAAATCAAACAAAGTGGATACTCAGACGTCACGTCGGATCAGACCGACAACATAGTTACTTTAGGGTTACTAGCCCATGGGTAACCTCCCTATGTGCGCACTAGACTATATAGAGGGACAATCCCCCATACTAGAACCAAGTCCTAGCCGTAGCCAAACAACGACATCCCCAAGTTTCCAAAATCAACAAATTGTGCAATAACGTATATATCTCAACATGTATATACAAGATATCAACTATTTACCAAGCACAATCCAAATTTGGAAACACATACAATACATGCTCTAAATCTACATCTACTATGGCATGACAAATGTCGAATTTTCAGTGTGCGACTCATTACACGCTATAACAATATATTTCAACGTTGAAAACATAAACTCATGAATCTAACATAACCACAGTCTAGTTCAATGCTTAAACTATAACAATGTGAATACACAACAAGTCCAAATCCATAATTTAAACTTAGGAACAACTTCCAAATTATAATAAATCCATAGAACAATTATATAGAATTTAATTAAATAAAAATAATTAAATTCTCTATATTTCAATTCAATTCCAAATGGCTTCAAATTAATACACGTCAAAGATCACATTGTGGTCATTACATATGTCATATCAATACTTTAATTTAAGCCATGAATCGTAAAATAAAATTTAATTAAATATAAATAATTAAATCCCTAGATTTCAACATTCATCAAAATGTCTCAAATTTAATATATAACAAAGATTAATTCATGATAATCACTAATATCAAGTCAAAAGCTTAATTACATCTATGGAGTAATTAAATATTACATAAAATTTAAATAATTCTCTAGATTCCAAGACAACTCTAAAAGTTCCCAAATTAATATATAACATAAATTAAGACAAGGGCTAATCAAATATCAAGTCCTTAATTAATTCTTCATCATATACAACAATGTGAATTAATTTTTAACTAATGAATAATTAAATAAAATTCTAAATTCCATACAAAAACATGGTATACACATCAAAAATGATAAATCACATAGCACATAAGCCTATAAACTTCTCCTACCTCCAAATGCATTCCCGGCCGGAAAGTCAACGCCGGTCAACTCCGGTCCATGGAAAACTGTTCGGTGGGAATGTGGCCGACGCCAAAGAGATCATTCTGCCCCAAAGGACCCACTCCGGAATCCGGCTACAAATGGTTCAAAACCCCCATTGAATTTCCTAGATTCAAACCTTCAAAAATTCGTAAAATATTCTACATACCTCTAAAAATTAAGGCCTTTGAGTATGATGTAGAGACCGATGAGGGGAACGTTGTCCGTCAAGGAACCAAGTCCGGAAGACCAGTCGATCGGCTGAAAAATGGAAGGGAAGCTTGATGGCAAAAAAAGAGAAATAAAATGAAATGATTTTGGGAGAGGAAGAGAACCCACGACTGAAGAGGAAGCATTCTGAAAAATTAGAAAATTTTCTAATTTTTGTTCTATTTATAATTCCCAATTTTTTAATAATCGCGAACTTACCCCAAAACTTTACAAAATTGCAAAAAGGCCCCAAAACGCCTTGAAGAGTGAAAATTTCAGAAACATGCTCAAACGGAAAAACACCATGAACAAAAAAGATTTAAAATGAGAAAATATGAATAACGGAAGAAACGACGTCAAAAACTGAATCCCGACCACAGAGATATGCCCCAAACAAGTTCGGCGGCAACCGGGTCTAGAAACTCTGAAACTGGAGAAAAACGACCAGAATGGAATTCTATGAATTTACAAGTCAACAAAAAGTGAAAATGAATACCGTACAAGGATCCAGGCTCCAGACGAGACATATTGCAATAACTTTCGTTAATTGCACAATGACCCCTACAAAAAGGGTTAACTGCGAACTGCCCCTACAAAAAATATTTTCTTAGATACCCTTGAAATAAAATATCTTTAAAAGATATTTATGAAAAACCCCCCAAGAAAAGAAATTAATTCCAAAGATTTATGCATCCATGCCCCTATGGACACCGGGAGTAACCAGAGTACTTTTCTGAAAAAGTAAATATACGTACTTCGTGGGAACCATTCAAGACGAAGATACGTGAAGTCAAAAACCAACTCTGAGCACAAGAAATGAGGTTTTGCCAATAAAGTGATAAACGGGGAAAAGACGAAATAGGGAAAGGGACGAAATATGAAAAAGGACAAAAAGGTGAATAGTGTCGAAAAACGAAATTGTGGAAATGACTCGGTCCTCAAAGGAAGTTGTCATGCTCTCATATAAGTACCACACATCATCTTCATGCCTATCAAGAAAAGAACCACCCATAGAAGCATCAACCATACCTTTATGGTTGTCCAACAAATTTTCAAAGAGGTATTGAACTAATTGCCATTTAGGGATGTTATGGTGTGGACATATCCTAAACAAATCATTCAATCGCTCCCATACCTCATAATACCTTTCCCCATCCCCTTGTGAGAATTAATGGAATGAAGTTCTCATTACACTGGTTTTAGATACCGGATAGTACTTTTTTAAGAACTCTTATTGCATCTTTGCCCAAGTAGTTATAGAAAAAGGTCTCAAATTGTTGAACCAATATTTTGTTTTATCTTTTAGGGTGAAAGGGGAGAGTTTTGACCTCAAAACCTCTTCTAACATATCCATGTTTTTCACGGTGGAACACATTTCAAGAAACTCATCCAAATGCTTATAAGGTTCTTCAATTGGTAGCCCATGGTAATTGGGAAGCATTTGAATTGTTTGTGGTTTAATCTCATAATGGTGTGCTCTAAATGGAGGTAATTGAATGCATGTTGGTGAATTATACTCATTTGACACATAATGGTCTCTTAAAGCAAGAGGAGGATTCACAATTGGTGGCTTTACACAAGCACCATGATTTGTTTGAACAATGGGAGGTGGAGGTGGAACAAAAATTGGCTGAGGCATTCCCATTGGATCTTGGCCTTACTGTTACGAAATAAAAGGTCTTGGCATGTCTAATAGTACTTGAATAGTATCATGTGGTTGATACACATTAGGGTGAAAAATGCCATGTTGGTCGATGTGACCAAGGTCCTCAACATGGTCCTCATTATGTTATTCCATTGAAGAAATAGAGTCACTTGAATTACCCCTTTTTCTAGGATTACGAACAATGGATTCAAGATTAAAGTTCAATGGGACAAGAGTAGGATTCAATGACCTATGACCATGCATTCATAATAAAAAAAAATACCAACTCAACAACTAGCAAGTGGCAAACACTTCTCATTCGCAACAAGTCAATTAACAACAAAGCTCCACATGCATTGATCCCATACTCCCATGCTTTCAACAAATGCAAGAAAATAAATTGCCAACACGCAGGCCAACAATTTAACTAAGTAAGAGAGTTAAAAAAGCTCACAAAGGGTCCTTAAGGAACTTCAAATTATTTTCAATTTTTGCCTTGCCTTGCTTTGCAATTTTTATTTTTTATTTTTAGCTTTTATGCTTTTGCTTAGCTTAGGTTGCTTTTTTGCTTTGAAGATCCCTTTTACTTCGCCTTCCTTGGCTCCAAGTACCTAGCCAATCAAGAATGAACACAATAAATAAATAAAGTAAAATAAAATAAAGACAAGATCAAAGGAGTACTAATTCCTAATTGATTCCGAAGATGGCGTTGCCAAATCCCCGGCAACGGCACCAAAACTTGGTGTTGCCGAGTACCAAAGCTCTCAAAAGTGTAGTGATGAAGTGTAATGTGGCCAAGTTTGAATTTATAGAATACCACTACCACTACTAACTATTAATGTAGCTAGAGTGAGTAAGGATCGTCCCAAGGGAAATGAACGGTACTTTAGAATCAACGTTGGATTAGTAGGTCGAATGATCAAAAGAGGGGTTAGTTGGTTGAATTATACTACAATTTAAGATAAAGCAATGTTATGTAAAATAACTAAAACAAATGAGGTGTAGAGAATGAGAGAGGATTCTTAGGACATAGAGTTCACCACTAAGTATTGCCTTCCTTAACATTCAACATTTGATAAATTAGGGGGATTATGTGTTGCAAAAGGAGTGTGTGTCATTAATTGAAACATTAGACTTGGATAGCCAAGTAAACATACATTATTGTCTATTCAATCTAGTGAATAACACAACATATCAAATTAAGCCATTAAACCTTTCATAAGCCCACAATTAATGCACACTCAAGAAATTAGAGAAATATACTACTTGTACTCATAAGCATGGAACATCAAACAACAAGAATGGATTGTCCACCTATCTAGGAAATTAAAGCAATTATACTATAACTACGCTAATAACATGAAAAATTAAACTACTTAAACTAATGAGGCGGTACAATCCATCAAGAAATAAGTATGAACCATTAAATAAATCACAAGAGTAATCCATTAAGCACCATGCTTTGACCATCAGTAGATTCATAATATCAACACACATAGACATGCACCAATGTCACAAAATCTTGAAAAGAATACATGAACATTCATTCTAGAATACATGGACATATGGATAGAATTAAATGATCAATTGCAAGTATTAAACTACACAAATCATGTAGAAACAATATTTATATATACAAGAGGTCAAAACAAGAATTACAACACAAATCCCACTAATTACAAATGATCATGGTCTATGAGGCATGCATAGGGCTATCTCTAGCCCCAAGAGAGTAGTTTAGCCACTCATTGATCTTGTCATCCAACCTTCAAGGGCTATCTTCATGGTAGAATTCATCCACCTCCCTTGGTGTTCTTGGTAGAAACCCTAGATGAGTAGAAGAACTTTCCCAAAATGTATGTTTCTCTCTCTAATCTCTAGCCAATTCTCTCTCTAACTAAACAACCATTTTGCCAAAATTAGCCAAAATCCTTATATAGGTAGCTCAAATGTCACACCCAATGGTCAGACCTTGTGCACTAGGACCTCCAAATTATTGCATCATGAGCACACCTTCAATTCAGCTTGAAATATGTTTTTCACACAATTTGAGGTAGTTTGATCAATCATATGGTTGCTCTGATCGATCGAAGCATGGCGGCACACTTTTTGGATCAGGACAAAGCTGAAATATTTTTGGGAAAAGGACAAAAGTGATAGGTAAGGATAAGATCAAAAGGTTCGATCAATCGAATGATAGGTTGGATTGATCAAAAAGAATATTTTTCTGAGGATAAGGACAAAGGGCTCAATCTATCATGGCAGGATTGGAACGATCACAGTGTGATTGATCATAGCTCGGTCCGATCAATCGTAGAGGGCTTTTTTACCATTTTGCTTCCATTTTGCTCCTTTCTTCCACTAAGCTTGAGAATGCTTCTTTTAATGCTCTAATTCAGTTGAATTGACTTATTTTGGGGATTGGTGCCTGAAAAAGGAAGTAACATGAAATTAGACTAAAACTGAAAAATAAGATAGAATAAGGCCCTAGGACATTCAAGATTAAGGGGTTTAAATATGCACTTTTCAGTACTTATCACACTACATGGTTCGGGTTCTACTCATACTGGGGATTACTCATCTTGCTTGTGCTTTTTCATATTAGCAATTCCGTTTATTTTCTGAAATCCTTTGTTATGGAAAGTCATTTTATGACTAGGCCTTATTGTTAATATATGTGAAGGAATTTTCAGTTTCAATGACTTAAAATTTTTTTATATAATTATATAAGAGGCACATGTAAAGGAAATTGGAAATAAACATTACTTACATTCAATACTTAGATACTTGATTTCATTACATGCTCTAAAAATGGCCGCTAACCCTAAAAGCTGGTGATGCAAATGATTTCAAAAGTTATCTACTTATTTCCTACCATTATCCAAAAAACCCATAAGTTTTCCAAAAACAACCACAATAAAAGTACCTCAAAATAACCACATGAGATCAAATGGAGGCATGGCTACCTCCAAGTTCCAACCAAAGCTTTCTTGATTCTTGAAGAGTAGCCAGTGCTTTGGCCTTAGCATCTTCAAATTGTGGAAATTCGTTAACCAGCCTTTCCCATTCCTTCTTTAAAGGCTTTAATGCATTAACAATGGCACTAACTGTTTGGTCCAAATCAAATTCTTCATGTTCCACCTGTTCCAATTCCTTCTGAATCCTAGCTGGTTCCTCGTTTAACTCTTCCTTCTTGGCCATGAGCTTCTCAGCTTTCTCCTTAATTTCTAGGTAAGGCTCCAGTGCAAGGTGGAAATCCTCAAAGGCTTTATTTTTAAGCCTAGCTTGCTTTTACACTCAGCAATTGTGGAAGAACTGGAACTCACGTGGGCAACGATGAATTGGAGCTGATGTTACAATTTGTTTAAGGAAGCTTGGACATGTTCAGGAAATCCAAAATGTTTTTTAAGAGTGATTATAGTGCTGGCCAGATTTTGATGGAAAAACACAACATCTTCCACATCATGAGCAAGATATGACAATAATTTTTCTATAGCTGCCATGACAGTATCATCTGAAGGTCCTGAAAGCATAAGTGCACAACAGCCCGAGCCCATGGGTCTGAACCGTTAGCCGGGTCCTTACTCGGACCTAAGGTTAACTAGATCATACCATCCATTTTCCTGTGTCTATAAATGTCAGACGAGTCAATTCATTTGTCCAAAATGCTATAAGACACAACCTTACAAAAAGGGTCAAATATGCAAGTCTATGAGGAAGGGTCGGCCAGCTGATAGACCCTGGTCGGTCGGCTGACATGACATGATCGTTCGGCTGGCCTACATGGTTTGTCGTCCTACCTACATGGTCGGTCGTTTTTACCTACGTGGTCAGTCATTCTAACGTATATGGTCGGTCGTTCTGACACGATTGATTGTTCGGCTAATTCAATGGTCGGTCGGTCTAACACGGTTAATAGTTCAGCTGACCTACCATGTCGGTCAGCTGACCTAGGCTTTCAGTCAGCTGATGGTGATGTTCAACCGGCCAAAACAAGGCCTCTCACCATGGAACTCTCTGGAATGACCTCGGATGGCTCTATTGGTCGACTGATTCTTCTTGTTAGCCGGTCGTCAGGCCCTGAATAACTGTTATATGCAGCGTGATAGTCCAGAACCCTGGACTCTTAGTGAGCCAAACCTGATAAACAACTTAATGTGTAGCCAAACCCAAATTCACGTCAATAATACATAACACTTAGATATCCATAAAAGCTCAAAATATAAACCCATGTCCCATTCGTCATAACATATATACATAGTTCCAAATATACAACAAGTGTTACTCTGAGATTCTAGCTACACTGCAAAATGAATTCATCCACAATTTACAGCTTTATAAAAGAATGGGCTAAATACAAAAAGTGACAAAATAGGTTTCTAGTCCTCCTCATGCTTGTGAAGGGTCGGCGTCCACTACTTCCTTTCCCAGCCCTGAAAAATGTTAAATGAGGTGTGAGCAAAATTTGTTGTGTAGGTGGTACCTAAGACACACCTCTTATGACCCCGTGAATTTAAACAAAGAATAAAGATGTAGAAAATGGGATC